TTTTGAACAACATTATGGATGTCCTTGCCTGAAAGCCAGGTTTAAAAGTGAACTTTTTCAATTTATAAAAATGGACACATGCTAATCCCTAATATAAGTTTAATGAACTTCAATTGATTTCTGAAATTCAGGAATAGAACATAAACAATGAAAATATATATTTCCCACAAATCTCTGATTCTACACTTGAATAATATACAGATGTTAGAATTATCAGGTCAAAAATTATCAGGTCATTATCACATCTGGTTTAACAGTAAAAATATACTACTATCCAATAATTTCTTGCTACATCTTTATAATATTTGAGGAAGAAAACATCTTGACATTACAATCCTGTTGATGTCAATAGAATGATCTTCCACATAAACAGATCTCTAACACTTTCTATATCAAACACAAACATCAGAAAAATATAAATCATTTTTTGAAAATATTGATATTGGAAGATATGCATAAGAGTATCAGCACATGGTATTTTGCTCTGTAATTAGAGCAAGATGGTTGACATTGCTTAAAAACAAGACTTCTATTTTTTCCTGTGTATATATCAGCCCACTGAGCTTTTTTTATATATATATATATAAAATTGAACATAAATAGAAAACTTTCACATTAAAATATTTCACTTCCTACACATTTCCACCCCAAACTATATTTTTCTTCTAGGCATGAATAACATTTCCCAAGACTATCCTTTAGTGGTACATAATTTTAGAGGAATCACATGCAGCTCAGCAAAAATGTCAGTCTTCATCTGCCTCTCAAATTTAAGAAAACATATATATGCAGAATGCAATCCTTAAATAATTTTCTGATACGGATGTATTTATTATATTTTTAATGTGCCCAATATTCTGTCATTGAATAAAATGAAAGTCCAGTTTTTTTAAAACAGCAGCAAAATAAAGTTTATAGAATTTACCAATTTAAAAATACATAAACATTGCTAATTAAATTAAATTTATGTCACTTTAAAAATCTGTGACTTAAACCTAAAAAGCCAGGTATAACAAGAATGCAACTGTACTACTATCTCAGTTAAAGTATACTAAAGTATACTATAACCCTAATCCTATACCATTTCAGACAAATGGCTGTCCAGTCTTTTCTTAAAACCCTACATTTTTTAAGTGCCCATAATTTCTGAAGGCAAGCCATTCCAATGGTTATTGTCCTCACTGTTAGGAAGTTTCTCCTTAATTCCAGTTTGCTTTTTATTTTGATTAGTTTCCAGCCATTGTTTCTTGTCCTGCCCTCTGGTGCTTTGGAGAATAATTAGACCCCCTCTTCTTTGTAGCAGCCCCTCAAATATTGGAATACTGCTATCATGTCACCCCTAATTCTTCTTTTCTCTAGACTAGCCAAACCCAAATCCTGTAACCGTTGTTCATATGTTTTAGTCCCCAGGCCTTTGATCATCTTAGTTGCTCTTCTCTGAATTTTTTCCAAAGTCTCAACAACTTTTTTGTAGTATGGTGACCAAAATTGGTTGCAATATTCCAGGTGTGGTCTTACTAGGGCTTTAGAAAGTGGTATTAATACTTCACATGATTTTGATTCTATGCCTCTGTTTCAGTGGTGGGATTCAAATTTTTTTACTACCGGTTCTGTGGGCATGGCTTGGTGGGCGTGGCTTGGTGGGCATGGCAAGGGAAGGATATTGCAAAATCTCCATTTCCACCCCACTCCAGGGGAAGAATACTGTAAAATCTCCATTCCCTCCCCACCCCACTAACCTGCTTTCCAGCTCCGTGTGCAGGACAACAAAAGAAGACCCAGCCAATCAGCTGGGACTCAATCAACTGGGACTCGGGAGGCAGCAAATAGATGGGGCGGGGCCAGTCAGAGGTGATATTTTCCAGTTCTCCAAACTACTCAAAAGTCCGTTACTGGTTCTCCAGAACTGGTCAGAACCAGCTGAATACCACCTCTGCTCTGTTTATACAACTCAGGACTGTATTAGCTTTTTTGGCCACAACCGGACACTGCTGGCTCATATTCAAGTGATCATCCACTAAGGACTCCAAGGTCCTTCTCATAGTTACTATTTTTCAGCCAGGTCTTGCCTAATCTGTACTTACACCTTTGATTTTTTTTTCTGCCTAAATTTAAAACTTTGTTTTTCTCCACATTAAAATTTATTTTGTTGGATAGGGCCTGTTCAAGCTTGTCTTCTAGGATGTTAGCTATTCTTGCCAGCTTAGTGTCATCTGCAGATTTGATGAATTCTATTCCCTCATCTAAGTCATTCATGAAGATATTGAAGAGTACTAGGCCTAAAATGGAACCTTCTGGTATCCCACTGCTTACTTCCCTTCATGTAGATGTAGTACCATTAAGGACTACTCATTGAGTACAGTTTGTCAGCAAGCTACTAATCCATCTGATGGTGATGTTATCTATTCCATATTTTTCTAGCTTACCAACAAGTAGGTTGTGGTCAGGGGTGAAATCTAAAATTTTTTGCTACCGGTTCTGTGGGCATGGCTTAATTAGTGGGCGGGGCTTGGTGGTAAGGTGACTGGGTGGGCATGGCCAAGTCAATGTCACTTCTTTGCCCTTTTTTAACCTACAAAACACAACACAACACAACTGGCTCACCCATAATGTAAAAGCAGCTGTGCTAGACCCAAAATGGCCCCTGCAACAAGCAGGAACCTCACACAGCTACAAAAAGCCCAAAAAACCAACTTTCACACTTTACACACACAAAATTCCACATACAGCTTTGTGAGATTTTGTGTGTTTGTGTAGTTAGAGTGAAACACTATAGAAATACACTAAATCTCAGAAAGCTGCACAAATATTATTTTATTTTATTTTATTTCTATTTTTATATAAAAGCAGCTAAATTTAAAGCTTCCTAAACTTTAAATGGCTAGGTCTAAAAAAAGAACAACTAAAAAAAACCCCAATTAACTGTTTTTTTTAAAGCTCCCAAAGGGGAAAAAACTTACCCAATAGAACAGGGGTCTCCAACCTTGGCAACTTTAAGACTTGTGGACTTCAATTCCCAGAATTCCTCAGCCAGCTTTGCTGGGAGTTGAAGTCCACAAGTGCAGATAGAGCTGCTCATCGATGAGCTTGATTGCAGGCAGGGAGATTCAATTGCTTGCTGATGCAGTGGATTGCAGGTATTACAGCAAGCAAAGCAAGGAGGCGTTGCGACCAGGAGCTAAGGTAAGCAAGCTGGAGGCTGGTGGGGGGGAGGAAAAAAAGAAACTTTTTTTTCTTTTAAATGGGTCTGACAATCCAAGCTGAGTTGCCTGATTAGCAGGCAACTCAGCTGGGATCGTCAGAGCTTGGCTCATCAGAGCCATTTAAAAGGGAAAAAAGGCTCTGATGATTGCGCGGCTCAACTGGGCATGGGGGGTGGGGGCAGGGATTTTTGCTACCGGTTCTTCAAACTGCCCGCCGCCATCACTACCTACTCGCCCGAGCTGGTCCGAACCGGAAGCATTTCACCCCTGGTTGTGGTCTACTTTGTCAAATGCCTTACTGAAGTCTAAGTACACTATGTCCACAGCATTTCGCTGGTCTATTAATTTAGTCACTTTAACAAAGAATGAAATAAGATTGGTTTGGCATGATCTGTTTTTAACAAACCCATACTGGCTACTCCTTATAACTTTATTTGTTTCTAGATGTTCACAGATCTATTTTTTGATTATCTTTTCCAGGATCTTCCCAGGAATTGATGTTAGACTAATTGGTGTGTAGTTTCCTGGGTCTGGTTTTTTTTTTTCTTTCTTTCCTGTTTTTGAAGTTGGGAACCATGTCAGCCCCTTTCCAGTTCTCTGGTATTTCCCTGGTGCTCCAGGATTTTTGAAATTATGTTATAATGGTTCTGAAATAACATCTGTCAGCTCCTTCAGAACTCTGGGAGGTAATCTGTTGGGTCTCAGTGATTTATATTCGTCAAGGTCAGATAGGTGTTCTCTTACCATTTTCTTGCTTATTTAATTTTTATTTCTAGTCTGTCTTTTACAATAGTTTTTTTGGTAGGTTGTGCTATAGTTTCTTTTTGCCTGAAGACTGATAGAAAGAATAGGTTAAGCAGCTCTGCTTTCTCCCTACTACTGTTACTTCCTTGCCATTTTCTCTCTTTAGTGGATCAATTGTTTCCTTGAATTTTTTTTGTTATTAATATATTAAAATAAACTTTTTTATTATTATCTTTGACTTTTGTTGCAAGTCTGTTCTTTCTGAGCCTTTGCTTTCCTGACTTCATCTTTGCAATTTCTGTCTATCTGCTAATATTCTGTCTTAAATAGGTGTCCCTCTTTCCATTTTTTTGTACTTATCCTTTTTGTCTTTCAGTCAGAGAGATCTTTGTGCAACCATGATGGATTTCTTGTTTTTCTTTTTCAGTGGTATTGTGCTGGACTGGACTTTTTATGATCACATTTTCAGAGTTCCCCACATTTCTTGAGTTGTTTTCCCCTTAAGGATTTTCATCCAAGGAATCTTTCCCAAGTAAACAAACAAATCACTAAACAAAACAATTCAGAGTTCATTTCAGGGTAGAAATGACCAGGCACAGATTTTCCTACTCTGAACACATTACGAGAAGATCCAACTCTGTAAAGAAAGCTTTGATGTTGAGAAAAGTCGAGGGAAGGTGGGGGGGAGGAATGACCAACAGCAAGGCAAACAAATTCAGTTACAGTGGTAGTGGATGCATCATTGGAAGACCTGAAGGACCAGGTATGGGATAGATAGTCATGGAGAAAATTTGTGTGTTTGCTAAGAGTTGGCACCTATTTGATACATAATCTATCAAAAACAAAATTTATACATTAACAGTATCACCTTAAGTGATAGCCACCCAGGCTCATTTAGACTTAGGTGGCATACAAGTTTAATGAATTATTTTACCAGCAACTATCCAATACATTATTGTTTGGTCTTAATAAGCAGAAACAAATGAGGACAACAACAAAAAGCTATATGAAGCAAATTAATTAGCTAAAGTCCTTTAGCAAGGATCCACTTACCTTTCAATTTTAGATCTACATTATGTCTCAGCCAAGGATAGATTCCATAATTTGAATAATCTTCTGGTATTGGATTATCTTGTAACCATCCTTCACAGGCAAATCGGAAAAAGTTATCACAGGGGTCCACAGACACATTTAGCTTGCTTTTGATGGAGGCAGCTGGAAAAAGTTATATAATTTCATGGATCATCAGTTGATAATATTAATTGCTATACAAGACATGCAAATCACTTCCAGATTTATGATTACTGTTTTATGGCTTTATTTATTCCCTTTACTTCCACATAATTAATCTCACCATTTATCCTATCCCACTTTGTTCAGATAGGCTACAATTTCAAAAGGAAAGGAAAAGGAAAGGAAAGAAATATTTCTTAAGTATTGGCCACTTTCCTTGATTTTCAAGTTAGGGATTTTGGGCTATTCGCTAAAATTTTGGCTTTTATTTTTCTGGGTGCATCTGGATTTTCACAATCTGTCACTGCAACTGACCTTGCTAAAATCTCAGGGGATCTTTTGATTGCCACCTCTCTTCTGTTCATCTTCCTTTAGCTTCTGGTTATTGAGGTGGACAGGGCCCTTGATGCTGTCAGTGCCACCACCTGTCAGTTAGATCCTTATCCCTCCTGGATTGTGAAAGCCTCCAGGATGGTGAGCAGTGGGCAGGTCCAGGAGGTGATTAATATGTCACTGGAGGAGGGGACATTTCAGGATGCTTTTAAGAAAGCCCTGGTTTTCCCCCTCCTTAAAAAACCATCATTGGATCCCATCTGCCTGGACAATTTTTGTCCAGTTTCCAACCTTCCATTGAACTATTGTAATGAGCTCTATATGGGGCTACCCTTGAAGAGTTTTAAAGGCTACAACTGGTGCATAGTGTGGTGGCTTGGGCAGTTTTGAGGGCCCCAAGTATGGCCCTGTAACACCGGGACTTCCGTTGGCACTGTAGGCGCCAAAGACGCTCCTTTTGTGAGCGCCAGCCCCGTGATCACGTAAAGCTGCTAGAACAGCACAAATCAGCTGTCTAGCAGCTTGGAAACTTTCTCCCCAAGAAAAGGGGAGGAAGAGAGCAGATGGGTGCAGATAGAGCTCCCCAAGAAGCCCCAGGAACAATTCTGGGGCTTGAAGGGTGAGAGCTCCCTGGAAGCCCGACAGAGCTCCGAATCCGGGACATTTCTGCTTTAAGCAGAAGACGCCACGACCACCCCTGCAAACAACGCTTTGAATAAATATTGGATTTGGAAGCAGGCTGAGCAAATTCAGGAGAGATCAGATTTGCAAGTACTAAACTTTAACTCCAAATGTGTATTACTTCCTTTTGACTTACTAAGGGAGAAAGTGAAACCAAGATGGCGATTGAGCCTTAATGGGGAGTGAAAGTGAAAGTTAAAAAGGAAAGTTTCGTTTAGCGCTGGCAGCCCCTGTCTAAAATTAGAGATCTTTGCTTTGAAAGAAAGAAGATTAAAGGCTAAAAAGACTATAGCAGTGTTTTTTAAAAAAGGATTGATATTATTTAAAGACTGGAAATTTCTGGATTTGGTGGATTTGTTGTTCTGGTTGCTGAATAAATTCAAATAAGAAATTAAAAATGACTTCAAAACAAATAAAGACTATTGTTCCTAAAAGTGCTGGGAGCTCACCAGCTCAAAGGTCCAAATTACAATCTCTCTCTGTTCCAATGGAACCACTAATATTAACACTTGAAATGTTGCAGGAAGCCCTTAAAATACAAGCCTCTGTTACAAATATATATATATATATTTCTGTGTTTGAGGATAAAATTCAAGATGTTGCTGAGGAGATGGTTCAAATTAAAGAGTTCATTCAAAAACGAAATCAGGAAATTAGAGAAGATATTATCATGGCAGTCCAAGGTCTGGCAGGACATATTGAAGCAATAGATGAAAAAGTGGAAGAAATTAAGCAGTCTAATGAGAACTTGGAAAATAAAATGGGAGAGGTCCAGAATAAGATGGAAAGAGCAGAGACTTCCGGTTTCCCTGTCTTCGGCGACGGCGGTGCCTTTTGAAGCTCCGCCAGCCCCGCCGCCTGTAGAGCCGCTTCGCGACCCAGAAGCGGCTCGAAAACTTCAAAATCCTCAGGATTGCTGAAGTAGAGATCGCAGGGCACAGGTCGAGCCCCTGTAACCCCCCAGGGAATTGTTTCTGGGGAGAGAACAGGCGCGGCTCCCTCCCAACCTGTTGAAACTCCGGGCGACGTGGGACGATTCTGCTTTTGCAGAACAAGCCGGCTGCAGGAAACTCAAAGCGAAAAGAACCAGCTTTAATAAACAGCGAAACTATCTGAACCCTGAAACTTGGAAACGCAAGTATTAGCGCTTTGTTGACTTTTTAATCTGAGAAAAATGCGAATGAGTGAAAGTGCTTTGAAAAAACATGGCGCTCAGCCTTAGAGTTAACGAGCCAGCGAGTGTGGATTGGTGAAGTTATCTTGCTTTGTTACAAAGTTTCCAAGTTGCTACAAAGTTGCCTTGTTTGTAATAAGAGAAACAAGTGAAAAATTTCTCCCTTTTCAATACTTGACTTTGCTTTACTTCAGCTTTTACCTGATCAAATCTGGGGGACTTTTTTAGAAGTCTTTGTGCAGGAGGGAAAGGAAAAGGAACTTCCCTCTTTAGAAAAACTAGACTACGTGGCAGGATGGCTTCAAAGAAGCAGGAAGGGAAGGCAACAGGGGGGGGGGATCCCCCACACACAAACATGAAATGCAGCTTCCCCCTGCTCAACAGCTACAGACTCAGAAAAAAGAATTTGATGTGGGAGATTTAAAAGAATTTATTTCTAAAACTTTGGATGACAAATTTCAAAAATCTCAATAGAAGATAGATGATAAACTTCAAAAATCACATCAGGAATTTATGCAGGAAATTAATGAAGTTAAAGATATGGTGAAACAGAACCAAAACAAGGTGACCAAAAAAATATCAGAAGTGGCATCTGGTCTGGCAGAATTTATCGGGAAAGTTGATTTTAAAGTTGAAGAACTTAAATCAGAAGTTAATGTTAAGATGAAAGATAATGATTATAAAATTGCTGATGTTGACAATAAAATGCAAAGAGTTGAAAACGAGATTGTCATGATACAATTCAGGGCAATGGAGTTTGCTATACGGCTTCGAGGAATTCGAGAGGAGGAAAGACAGGATCTGAGACAAGTTTGTTCTGAGGCCCTGGCCAAGATTATACAAATTAATCCTGATGTGGTTTTTCACAAAATAGACAAAATTTACAGAGTGAATTCTTGGGTGGCCAGACAAAGACAATTACCTAGAGATGTGGTCATATATTTTACAGATAGAGAAATAAGAAACGATATCCTGCAAAAATCCTTTTATACTTCTGTGCAAGTGGGGGGCTCACGAATTGGAATTTATAAAGAATTACCTCCTAAAATGCTGAAAGCTAGAAAAGAATTTGGCTTTCTTGTTAAGGAATTGCAAAATTTACAGATACCTTTCCGGTGGGACGCCCCAGTTGGTATAATTTTCAGATATAAGGGAGAAAGATATCGTTTGAATACCGTGGAGAAGGCACAGCACTTCTACACTACTATTCTTAAGGAAAGAACACCATCTCCACGTACATCTACAGTTTTGGAGATTAAGGAGAGTGAAGAGAAGCAACCTCAACGAGAATTGCAAGAACAGTCTAAGCAGGAATTAGAGGAAATGCAAGGTGCAGAAGGAGGTTTTCTGGATGAGCCTTTGCTGGAATCTTCTCCAATTTTGGACCCGACTCGGATGATTGAAGTTAAGGACCAACGTATAACTCGAGCTCAATCTAAGTTACTTAAACAAAAGCAACAACAACAACAGGAAAGACAAGACAAGGAGGCAGTTAAGAGTACTGCACAAGAGATTGGAGCCATGGGGGGAGCGAGATCGAAGCTTTTGGATGATCTTCAATTATTCTGCTCTTTGCTCCAGAAAGAGGGAGATGATGTTTAAGTGTTTATCTTGGAATGTTAATGGGTTGAATTCAGCACAGAAAAGAAGAAACTATTTACATATTTGAAACAATTTAATAATGATATAATTTGTTTACAAGAAACGCATATCACAACTCAAGACCAAAAATATTTGATAAACTCCAAACTAGGAACACATTTTATATCTTCAACTTCGCAAAAAAAGAATGGTGTGGTTATTTATGTAAATAAAAAGTTAACAGCTAAAGTTATAGAAGCAGATGAAGATGATAGGTTTGTAGCAATTGAATTGCTTACAGCAAATGGCCAAATTCTTCTGATTGGAATTTATGCTCCCAATCAACAACAGGACCATTTCTATAAGATGTTACATACTAAAATACTGCAATGGGATTACAGATCTATTTTAATTATGGGAGACTGGAATGGAGTAATCGACTCTAAATTAGATAAAAAGAGTTTGGCAAAGTCTAGGATCAGATTACCACAGACCTTTTTTGACATGAAAGAAGATATGGAACTAAAAGATGTTTGGAGAATACATAATCCAAAAGAATTGGACTACACTTTTTTTTCTGACAGACACAGATCCTTTCTTGAATTGACTTCATTTTGTTGACAGATGACTTACTTGTTAAGACAAAAAGAACAAAGATCTTTCCAAGAACTTTGACTGACCATAGCCCAGTATGGATAGAAATTGAGATGGATAAGGTTGAGAGACGTTCTTGGAGATTAAATGAGAACTTGTTTAGATATGAAAAAAACACAACAGAACTTAAAAAGCATTTGAAAGAATTTTTTGAAATAAATCTGAATAAAGGTACCCCAATAGAAATTGTGTGGGATGCAAGTAAAGCTTATATGAGAGGGGTACTTATCTACATGAACTCTAAACATAGACTGTTTCGACAAAAGAAAAGATCTGAACTGGAAATAGAAATAAAGAATAAAGAAGTTACTCATTAAAAATCCAACAGATGAAAGAATACGTAGTGCTATAAAACTTTTGAAAGACCAATTTCAAATGCTTATGGCGGAACAAGTTGCAACAAACTTACAATATGCGAAGCATAACACATTTTGTAACGCTAATAAACCGGGCAGATGGTTGGCTTACACATTGAGGAAAAAACAAAGTATACGGACTATTGATAGTATTGATATTGGAGGGAAAGAAATTTTTCAACAAAAATTTAATTAAAGAAGCT